AGCGCTAGCGCTGAAAAGCATCTGACTAGATTAGACGCCTTTCTTACGTTCTGTCCGATCTTACATTACCAGGAGCGTTATCATCACAGAGCATAGGATCGTGTAGGATAGCATAGGTATACAAACAATTGATATCGCTTTGTGAAAAAGGCCGGGCTTCTATAACATATGCTAGGATAAGAAATGACAAATAATCTTGCATGTGTAAAGAAAAATCCGAAACAATGGCTCTTGGTACCGGCATAGCACGTCGATATGGAACATACAGGCATCTCAGGCTTCTGTATAAGTACCTAGCGAAGACCGTACTTGAGTACGAGCTCAATAAACACGACTGGACGCTGTAGAATACGATATCACAATGCCCTTCCCCACCAGTGGTAAGGGTCTTGAGCTGCTCATCATTCAAATTTGCTGCGGCATAGTTGTTTATGTGTCTGTGTGCCTACGGCTCTGGGCCCAGCATATCAACAGAAAAAGGCCGTCACTTCATAATAAGATCACAACAAGAAAGGTTTCACTACACGATGTGCTAATGCATGTATCTGTGGTACGTTTCTATACATAAGGACCCCCTGAGTGGCGTGATCCTTTCTAGTCCATATATATATGAGATCAGTCGCCTTCCGATCTTGTTGCACTGACCGCATTTATAGTTCTTTTATACAGTCCAAGCTGTCATTGTGATTCGTGGTATCATCGAGGGTGGTATCGGGCAGCACGGAAACGACATTGACCAGACAGAAATCACCATAGGTTTCCAAACCTGGTACTTCGGCGAACTCATCTATCCTGTACTTTCATGTTTCACTAAGACCTCCGTAATCTTGTTCCTGCAACAAGCGTACATCGTCAAATTTCAAACAAGAGAGGCCACTAACAGACGCTACATCCAGTGGGTATTGTACATCTGTCTGTGTGCCATTTGGACTTCCTCGAACGTGTTCTTGTCTGCTAGTATCTTTCAATGCTCTCCCCCAAGTCATTATTGGATGCAGTTTGAAGATCCTAGCAGCGAAGGGACATGTTCAAAGAGCATTGTACCAACTGCCGGTATAGTTTTAAGTATAGTAACAGCCGCCAGCGATTGGGCGTTGGCTTCGGTACCCATAGTCGCCTTAACGAAAACGCAGATTCCATGGCGAAAGAAGGCCGCCATTCAAGCCCTGTCGAGTTTAGGCGTGGTGTAAGTAATCTCTCATACCTATACACGTTTTTGCTCCACCGAAACAGGGTGGACGGGTGAAGTAAGATGATTATTTGAACATGGAACTGATAGCGCATGAACACGATAGAGCTGGTATATTTATGATAGTACGCGTACCCCACATTCGGACCCTGGAACTCACTGAGGACTTTCTCTATGAAACAGTGTAAGATCTTCCCTTGCTTTACGGCCACTATGGGAGGCTAAGTTTCATGCAGAGATGTTGCGAAGTGGACGGTTATAGAGGCTGCTATAGGGATCGTAGCAGGCTGTTTGCCGACCACTAGACCGCTCTTGAGACTGATGATACCTAGGCGAACCTCGCCGGTCGGTA